TGGCAACCCCCCTCCCCCGAAAGGGTCCTTCAGCTACAGAAACAAGCAACAAACTTCGGAAACGACACCAGGTACTGACATGAAACTTTTCATGATCTGCATTCTCTTTTCAATTTGTGTGTCAGCTCCTGGGGAATGCTTGCCAGGGGATACCTTGACTAGAGCCAGGTTTATAATATACATGATTTTTCTGGGGAAGGGAGGGGAACCTCTTAAGGGAAAATAACAGCTTATAAGTATTTAGATTCCCCAGTAATTCTCCCCACTCCATTTCCACGTGGCCAGGTAAGTCTAAAACATCACAGCTCCTCTCCTATAAAGCCTGACAGTCTCATGTCCCTCGTTTCATAGACACTGACTGTATTTCCAGATCTGGGGGACGTCATGCATTTTGAGGCTTTTGCTGGGGTTCAAACAGCTCAAGAGAAGCCTTTGTATGGAACACAAAGCTATGTTGTCACACTAATACAGCAGTCACTGAATATTTATGACTTCATAGCAATATACCTGCAGTGTTTGTGGGAGTATTTCTAACAGAAGTGGGGGGTTTCCTCAAAGAACACGTAATTTCCTGAAAATGTTTAATCAACCCATTTAAAGGTATTTTAATTAGCCTAAAGCTGTATGTGTGATACAAACTTGCAAGATTCTGTCATTATTTTAAAATCGCAACATTGTCTTTTTGGCTTATTTTTATTTGTAACAGTTCTTGGCAACAGTAATTTGTTGAAATTGGAAAAACAGTATGACCCTCAGGGCTCATAAGTCTGATCATCAAATCCACTTCCCTCTTCCAAATTTGGATGTCACATTAACATGTAGTTAAGGAACAACATTTACTTATACTGAAGAGTTTCTGATTATTGTATTCTGATTATATATACATAATATATATAATTAATATATATTATTCTTATTATAATGAAATATTCAGTTTTGCCTAACTAAAGTCTGAGTGCAGGCACCTCTTCGTACATGCAAAGCAGAGATTCAACCAAACTGAGATCCTGAGGCTTGCTATGAACAACTCGGGTTCCTCAAGCTGCCTGTGAATAAGGTGCAACCAAGAGGTTAGAAAAGATTAGGATCTCTGGGGAGGCAGTTTTGGCTAACAGCATGTTTACCTGCTTTCTAAGCAGGCTTGTGCGAAGCCCAAATAACTAGGGTGGGAGAAGTCTGCTTAAGCTCCTACTTACCTGAAAGTTAAAATATTCTTATACCCTTTGCAGGCTGCATATGAGATCTTTCTTGCATATGAGGTAGGGCAAGTCTTCTTGCATAGCCCTGTACCGTCACATGCTCACTTAAATTTTGGAGTATATCACTGTGGGAATGCAGACCATTATACCCCTTAACCATATTTATTCCTTTGCTTTTGCTGTGTAAATGCAGTAGAGATTCTTTTGGTTTTTGTCTTGGTATCACTTACCGTAGGCGACTTATTAAACAAAACACAATTTCCTTGCAAACCCAATTCTTGTAATCGCTTTAATGCATTAGTAGATAATTAGTACTGATTTACTTAGTTTGACTTTAGAAATTAACTTTGAGTACAATTATTTAAACTAGTGATGGCGTACAATTATTATTCCTAGGAAAGACAAATTTATATACAAAGTTTATATAAAAATGTCTTAACAAAAAGTAAAAACTAGATTTTATGTATTATAACTTCATAATTTTAATAACTTTTCATGGTCTCCCTCTTTTGTGCATAAAATCTACTTTTAAACAACTATCAAGCATTATGGAAAAATTGACATGAGTTTAAAAATAATTAACCAAAGCACGCAATATATCTTTACATAAATCCTCAGCTGTCATCTTGGAGAAAAAAAGTAAATTGGCAAAGAAGAAATGCAAAATTCAGTGCTGACTTTACAAGAATTCTTATTAATTTGCTTTAGTCATACTGGCCTTCTTCCAGACTTGGCCCAGGTGAGAGATCCCAAGATAGGAAAAGTGATAGGAAATCACGCAGCCGCAGCCCAGCAGCATGCGCTGGAACCTGAGGCTGTTGGGGCGCAGCTTGCAGACGGGTGGGGAGCCAAGCAGAGGAAGCTGATGCACTGCCGGCTGACGAATCACACTGTAAGAATGAATGAAAAATGCCTGTTTATTTAATAGACTGCTCACATTTCTTTAGAATAAGGTCAAATGCTGTATTTGTTGAAATGAGTATGAGAGAATCAAAACCACACTCTGCTCCTTCAGCTCCACCAGCTGGATCCCAGCTCCGTTATTCTCCTTCCTCCTCGCGTAAGCGAAGTGGGATGATCTATGGCTAGGCGTGAGCAACGTAGCGAAGAACTTTGCACTGGAGTTGGAGGCTCAACTGTCTGTAGAGTCAGAACATTAGCAACAGAAATGTAGTTTTTGAATGTTTTACCTGCAATTTTTTGTGATAATCAAACAGAATGCACACTTTTTTTTTTTTTTTACAAGAAAGGCCCAGTCCTCATAAGTGGTATACACAGCATTGTTGTGTATACCACAATGTATTTCATCACTTATAGACAGAATACTGGAGTCTTAAAAAAATAAAAAAAAAAAAGAAAGACTCCATTCAGTTGGTTTTGTACTGAAAGCATAAATTTCAGACATGCAGTTGGTTTCTGAGGGCTTTACAATTTCACCTTAAATGCATGTTTTCAAGTGCATGTGGGTAAATTAACATTCCCTTTCCAGCTCTGTTCTTTTTCTGTGAATAGGATCTCCTTGAAACTGGTGTAAAAGAGAGAAGAAAAAACACCAACGCCCAAACCATCACATTTTTTTAGTCTTGCCAGGGCCATTCTACTACTTTACAGCTGTGGCACATAGACTCTTTGCTTTTCAAATACTGGTATATTTAGTGCTATGGTATTATAAGGCCTCTGAACCGAACTGAAGACAGAAAACTGCAAGAAAGCTATGGAGAGGCCATACTTTGCAGAAGAGGAGAATCTTGGAATTTGGTGTGGACAATTCACAAACAGAATTGATTGAATGTGCTGGATAAATTGTATTTTGCAAGTTCTCCCACATCTAATTCACCTTCTCTCTCCCACCTAACAATTTTCTAAAAGTGACAGAGATCACCTATTCTGATCCCAGGGGTAATTCCCCCTCCCCCCTTGAATGATTCATCTCACTTCATCAATCTGCAATTTATAAGCACCTCTGCTATTATCAAGTTTTTCATAATAGTTTTCTCCAGCTTCAGAGCTTTTAATATTCACAGGTTTGTTTTTTCTTTTTTTTACCCTTTTAGTGCAGGTGACTTCAGCGCCACTCATGGAAACAGCTCTGTTAGGAAAGTCCATGTAGGAGCTGAGCTGCCTCTTGAAGGAGGAGTGATAATTTTTCATTTTCAGGTCATGCCATAAGACTAACGTTTTGGGTCTTATGAGCACTTTGGAGGAGGGGGGCCTGAATAAGACACTGATTTAGAGGATAAGCAGCAGCAGAGGAGGTAATGGTGTGGGCACTGTATTCCAGTGAGCAGGAGGGCTGCTGGCTCCAGAAATGAGACATGGACACACAGTTCTCACAAGGTGCAACTGCCCTCTCCTTTACATGGGAGAAAGGTGGCAGAGAAGACCCCACTGAAGATCATCCATTTTCAGGGCCACAAAAATGATGCTACAACAGTATAACATGTCACCCCCCACACCTGGAAAAGTTGGAGAGGCAAACTGTGTCAATATAACGTAGCTAACAATGCCTCTAACATTTGTCTTTAGGAATAAATTGTCTCATTTTGTTACTGTGAACAAATATTATTTAATCCCATTTGTAGCTCTAATAACATAAAATTGCAAAGACTACTCATATCTAAACCAGTAAACTTTAATTTTGAAACTTTCAGGGCCTAAGCTCATCTGAAGGAAAGGAAACGGAAGAAGAAAATCTATCTGACACGTGGAGCTGTTCAGCACAGACTGTTCTTGCAGAGATCAACAAACTGAAGAAACTCAGTGCTTAAGCAAGCCAAGGAATCAGAAATTTGTTAAACATCTCAAGGAAAAGATTTGCACGTACATTGACAGAATGCAGACATCCTTGTTCTTGGCCTTAAACTTTTAATGGAAATCATCTTTCTATGCAGAAGAAAGGTTGCATGACCCCTTCATTTTCAGAGGGATTAGCAAAATAAGACATTTTCCAGGTGATTATTTCACTGTACCCTGTTCTCAGAATTAATGCAAGATAATGCATATAGTCTACAACCTCAGCTGGTGATCTAAGTTCAGTTCCCAGTAAGTTTGTTCTCCACACAGACGCTGAAAGATGAACTGATTGCAAAAACCACAAAAAAACCCACCACAAAACTCCCCAAAACCCCAATGAATGCTGTAAAACAGATTTATTTACTTTCATCTCCTAGCAGCAAGCCAAACGATCAAGCTTCATTGAGAGGCAGACATACAGTAAAACTGCTCTGAGATATACATGGAAGCATACAGGTAGCACATAGCAATTAAAAAACCTAGTTAATAAAGATCTCATTAGATGCCCAAGCCCAAGAAACTCACCATCACTAACATCAGAAAATTCTGCTGCTTGTGGAGACGGTATCATTACCTGTCAGCTTTCCAGCACTTATATGATCATTGGTCTCTCGGTTAATCAGCATTTCTAGAAACATCCTTGCATCTGTACCTTTCAACTTTATTTCGATACTCAAATCTGTTTGATACCGCATGTGCAACCAGTATGTAGGACTACACTGTAATACAGCTTTTAGTTGCAATGACTAATGGCAACTCTCTTCACCGCATCTCCAAGTCAGGTAATGTCTATCTGTCCTGTAGTAACAAGAATAGGCTGACATCTGACCAAAAATAAGTCCTAGTATAAACTAGAATGTATGATGATTATCTTGTGAAATCGGACCTCTGAGATGCACTTTCATTCTGTTGTTATGCGAATGCACTCTGATGGAAAGTATTTCTACACGTTAGTTTCCATGACAAATAACATCTCTCTGTGTGTTCATATACATCCTCTTACCTCTGTTAATTAGGCATCTGTTCCTTGTCTGTTGGGTTCCTAGTTGGAGACTAGAAAGAAATAGATGTGATTAATAAATAGTCATGTATATCAATGATAAATTAGGCCAGTGCAGAATGTCTTTCAAAGTTGAGGATTGAGGAATTCACAAAATACATACTCAGGCTGAGTCACTTCTTATGTGTTTTACTTCAAATGTGAATACAACACATGTCCCTGGAGGCAGGGGAGCAAGAGACATCCATGAAACTGGCAGGTGTTGTGTAGGAGAATGATGTGAGGTGGATTTTGTACACAAATCTTACTTCTAACAGCGTGGCTGGTCTTTATTGGTGGCAATTAGGAGAGGCTGAGGGGTACACGGATATCCAGTTGTCTTGGTGAACTCCTCAGTCAACAGTTTGACTGTGCGCTTGCCTCATGAAGACCTGATTTGGTGACAAATGGGCAGAATACTGATTTTTGTTATTTTCTTGATTTTAAATTTGAGCATCATGTAAAGCTACAAAATACTTAAGAAACAGGAAATAAGCCAGGCTAAAGATGTAGCTTCACCAATCCAGTGAACACTATTGTAAACTACCAACAAATAAATATTTTCAAGACCAGAGGTCCTGATTGAAATGCGTGCTATTGAAGTCATGAAGAAAAAAAGTCTTTTCTATGACTTCCTCACTCTCCAGATATAAGCTTTTGTATATGTGCCTCTGGATCCTGAGTTATTTCAGCTTTGCTAACTGGGATGACTAAAGAAGTTTGAGTTCCCATAGATCCAAATGTCGAAATTAGGGTCTCTCTTTGTTCATCTTCCTATGGACAATGGAAATTGGTTAATGGGTTCAAAATTAAGTGCTGTTTTTTTCAGTTTTCATGGAACTCTACTTAAACACTACCTGCAAGCTTGGAGTGGCATCAACTGATGAATAAGCAGTCTGTTAGCAGCTTGGACTAAAAACAGGGTGCTGATGAGGGTTGAGGAATGAAGCCAGATATTTAGGATAGCGAATGTCATCAATAACCTGCCAGTTTGTGAAGGGTGCATAGTGCTCTTTTGAGTGTTTTTTGGATGAAGCTGAGGAAGAGATTTGGTCTTTGGCAGCTGGTTGAGCAAACTTAATTAAACCAGACCTGCTTTACGGTCATAGGCATCTACAAATCTGAAAATCAAAATCTGCACTGCAGTGGATGACCTGGCAGTTTACAGTGCCTTACAGGAGTGGGTCAGTACAAAACCATCTATAGCAACAGATAGTAGCATTGTCCTTCTTGGATATGAAGGGCATTTTCAGTGTAAGTACCTACTGATTTTAACAGCTAACAAATAAATGGTTTTGTTGAGTTCCCCATGGAAAAACTTTTTGACCTTTCCACAGCAGGCCACCTACCTTGCCAGTCTTGCCGAGGATCCCAAGACTTGAACAGATGCAAAGACGGAATTGCTCATTTGCCCCATGGGTCTATTTGTCACTGGAGGACTACTAAGTATCTGATATGTTTCCCAAGACCTACTTTCATTTAAAACTATTATGTAAGTTGTTGGCATTGAAATAATAATAATAAAAAAGAGTCAAGCTTAACACTTGCTTAATGCCCTATTAGTCTTCTGAAGTCCATCTGAGTTACAGTTTGTCTCCTGTGGCCTCTACCTTTGTCGTTACCTAGCAATGACGCAGAAAGACCTACTACTCAGTTCTTGCAGCTAGACCAAGAGCGGAGAACAGAGTATCAGTCATTCGCAGCTTTGAAGAGGAATCTTACACTACACTAGCTGTATCCCTAAAGATCAAGTTCAAGGTTCTACAGAGATTAGCTACAAGGGGATAACAAACTACAAGCAATTCAAACCATTTTATGTAGTTTCTGCAATCTTGCACTTATTTTTAGATGCTGGATGACTAAATCTGTGGGATGTGGCACATAAGGTAGCATAATGTAACTGCAATAGAAGGCAGATTTTGAAATATCATTTTCAGAAACAGCTAAATAAGATTCATATAGTTAATTCAAACATCCAAAGATGTAGATAAGCATTGTATAGTTTTTTTAAAAATTCCTGTGTGCTAGCAAGTATGGACATGGAATGCATGTGAAAGCTGCATTGTCCTTTTAAGACTTTAAAGAAAACTTGTCTATTCATCGTTACATAAATGTTGTCTAAACTGCTGCCATTCATTCTGTTAGTGGACACACACAAACCCAAGACTCTCAGGCCTTATCTTATGCTTAACGGTATAGACAAGGAGCCAACTACCATAGATTAAGCTGAGGTCTACCGCTATTTGTATGCTCATGCCTTGTGCAACCCCCCACAGCAGCACCACACATCCACCTTAGTGTGAGAGCACAGCATCTTCCTGTGAGAGCAGCACCCATCTACCTCACTGTTGGCGCACTCTGGCTGTCCCAATTTGGTAACATCTCCCAGAGGAGACCTACGGCTGAGAAGTTCAAATGCCAGCACATACGTCATCAGTTCAGCTGTTTCGATTCTGTTGTTCTCTCCATTCTTCCTTGTCTCCTGCTCTAGGCAAGGCAGCCTTCCAAAGAGTGTATTAGCCTTGCTTATAGATGAAGTGTCCCATAGGTAATAGACTACTTCTAGTTCAGTACTTTGGTGCGGTCAGGAAAGATGCCAGGGGAAAAAAACCTTAAAAAATCTAGGCCACCCAGATTTCAAAGCAGAGCTTTTGTCCCTAAATAATTTATGTATTTCCGTGAAATTTTATTAAAGGTAGTTGTTGTTCTGAACCTAACATCTTACTTCCCTTGGAAAAAACATAAGATATTATCAATGTCTATGGACAAGACCATAGTATATTACATAGTAATGAGATAAATTATTGTCTGTGCCTGTACTTTCTACAAACGAACATTCTACTTGCTTAGTCCTTATTTAGTTGTCCTTAAAATAGGTTTTTGTAGATATTTAACTCCAGGAGTGACAGAAGTTTTTGCATTGCATTTGATTTTTTTTTGGGGGGGGTGTTATTCAGCCCTATATTAAACTGTTGCAAAATGAGACATGAACTTTGAGATAGCATCAAATGTTATAATGGAAGACTGAACCGAGTGCCACTCTCATTAATAACTTTCATTACAGCAGAAGCAAGATCAAACTTATCAAGAAGCCAAAAATTATGTTCCATACTAATTCATAGGAGATATTTTCTTTTCTCATTAAAATAAAATCAAACTCCTTTTCTAAGAGGCTTCTGATGTGATCTCTTTAAATCCTCAATCAAGTCTTCAAAAACCATCTGTGAAAAAGACTGTCCAAATCCTAATTCCAAGCGTGGACTCTGGAGAGGGAGGCCTATGTTTTTAAAGGTACAGATGGAGAGTCTGTATACAGATATAAAAACTAGAATTCATTAAATGAGTCTTAAAAACTGCTAACATTCATACATACCGATTTATTAAATGGCATGTGGAACAAGAAGTCTCTAAAATGAATGCTCTCTGGTCTGCTTTCCTTAGGAACTACGAAAGAGAAAAGAACATGATTGTCATTTTTGTTTAAGACCATTTATTTATGTCTGGACTTAAGTATTAGTCTTCTGAAATCCTTCTTTACTCTTGCCATCAACATGCCTCCACCTGTAGAGGGCGTTCCATCTTTTAAAAGTTCTTATTTTCAAGAATTTAGATCTTCAATAGTAAAGTTCACTGTTGCACCTCCATAATGATTCTTACCATTGTATTTCTGCAGTGCAAAGCTGCTGATTTATATGCATCACAGGATACACAATAGTGTAACAGAGGGCAGAGGGGTTAGGAGCAAAAGAGAATGTAGTGATCATTATCTGAGTTACTAAATAATTTCACAAAATTTAGAGTTCTGATGTTGGCACTACAATTCTGCTAGTATGATTGAATAACTGAAATTGGGAAAGAGAGGACAGCTACAGAGGCAGGACTGATGCGGCCTTAAAAGAAAACCCTACAGACAAACACTTTCCAAGAATCACGCTCATGTCATACGAGCTTTGCCTTGCCTATAGAAAACAGATCGTAGGAACAAATGCAGTGATCCCAGGCCCTCTGGTTCCCAGCGCCTTGTGAAGGCTTATGGACTGAGCCTCTTCACATGCTCAGGATGCTGCACCCCAAAAAACCGCAGAGGATATTAAAGCTGAAATATAAATAGTTTGGACTGCAACTCTGCCACTGGGCCGGCAAGAACTTCCCTTAAATACAGCATCTCACAAGTCCACATAAATACAGCACTGTCTAACAGAATAATGAAAGCAATACTGTGGGTTATTTTTCTCTCTTGCAGTAAGGAAATAACACATTTAGGTCAGAATTTTAAGTAGTGACATACAAATGGTACTAAGTCCAGTATGAAAAAAAGAAATACTAAATTTCTCTTCCAAGAATGCGCATGTACTGAAGTTTACAGAAATCATAGGCCAAAAGTCAAAATCATCTATAACACAATCTTTTCATAACAGCAAGAGAAAATCATTTGCAGGAAATGTAGGTGATTCGTACTGCTGCAGATGACATGCGCTCACAAAGGAAAAAAAGCATCTTAAATGACCAATGGTACAGTTTTTATTAGTGACTCTCAATACTAAACTGCTGTAGCAGTGGAAAGTTCATCAAGCTTTTGCAAGTGCAAATTGATAGCTGATGTACAAATAAAATATTGAAGTTCTCAAGAAAATTGTTCTAAAGAAATCATCTACCTTAACTGTGATGAAGCAGCAGGAAACGGACGACAGAAAAGCTGAGCCACAAAGACCTGGTAAATTTTCTGCCCCATTAACTCTCAGCGAGCTCATCTTTGGGATGAAATCTTGACCCTGCTGCAGGCCTGATTACACTCAAATAACTTAAATGTGATGAGATACAGAAAATGCTCATTACAAATTCAACGCCTGATCCAAAAGTCTGCTTATGCTTTGGATCAGCCCTTTGCAGTATACTTACAGTTCAAGGCTTCAGTGTTCCGAAAGGCAAAGAAAGCGCAACTTACCATTCAGATTTTCCTTTTCTAGTCTGTTTCCAACAGTGGTGTCTCTAGGATGGTGCACTTTTTCCTTTAAGTAAAAAACAAGCATAAATCCAGCAGCAGAAATCAGTAACATAAGTTTACTGTAGGAATAATGAATAACTATAAAAAGCTGGATTCTTTAGCATTCTGAAGACCAAGCTTCTCTCTCTCCAGAAAAATAATTTTAAAAGACTGAAAAATGTTTATGATGTGCTATAAGTAGATGCTAATTTTAGCATTTATACCTAAGAGTCTTCTGGAGTTTTTCCTATCAGTAAGTTATATTGATTCTGGCGTTAGATTACAGGGGCCTGGGAGTTCATTTTTTGCTTTGGACAAGTGATTTTTCCTTAAAAATCCCAGTGAAGACCAGACAACTGCAGTGATATCATGAAGTAAATTCATCATGTTCATGTTGGGGTAACAGTGAAAGACTTTTCCACAGTACAAAGCCATAGAGAAGTCACACATGCCGTGCAGGGTATAAACCACCACCAGAAAGTAGCTTTTTCCCTGAAGCAGTGGAAACAGGCCAAGTAAATCCTCCTTGAAATACAGGCTTATGCCTTAGCGCTGCTGTCTTTGCAGAGATTAGATATCGTCTTCCTCCACAAGTAATCCCCCTGACTGATAGAGCAATCCCAGCAATTCCCATCTGTGCGTGTGGCTGCAGACAGATTGGGGAGGGGGCATCCGCCACACTCTCGCACTGCTGCCGAACAGCTGGCGCTGTGCTGCTGGTGCCCAGCTGGGGAACTGGGCTCCGAAACCATTCTAAGCCCTTACACTTCTGCTGTGAAGTGCTCCACTGTGCACAAAAGCTCATACTATTTCTTCAGTAAACGGAACCACAAAGAACATTTAATCTCTCCTCGTTGGCAGCATCTGATAGCTCTCCCACTCTGAGTAGTAGACTAGCTTTGGTTTGCCTCTTTCTACTAAATGCACTTAAAGGACAACAAGAAAATATTTTTGTTAATGCATGACCTCATACAAAATGAGGGCATAACCTCTTCCTCCAGCTGTCTCGTTAGAAGTAATTAACAAACCTCCTCACCGTGCCTTTCTCCTTAGCTTCTAGCTTTGATGCAGTTCCTGCAGTGACTCAGTGTGTGGGCTTTTGTAAATCCTGTTTTTGTGCACCTCAATTTACTCCATACCTTGAACATAAAGGAGCTGAAGAGCACTGCTAACAATTGTGAATTTCACTACGTAGATTCAACACTTTCAGACAGGCACAAAGCCTGATGTAAGTCAATATATATGAACAATGTATGCTTGATATAGTTATGTTTCTGTTAGCTCACACTGCTCAATAGCGCATTTGGTTTGTTCAGCTATAGAACGTTTGTGGTTTCATAAAAGATGCATAGACCTAAGCATCACCTAGCAGTTTAGAACAAAAGTCTTGAAAGATGAATGTGTTTCACTCAAGATTTTAACCAAATGCAACAGCACCTGAAGTTAAGCAAAATAAATTCAGGAAGCCTCTCAAGTAATCAAACAACAGTGGAAATGGGTATCTAGAAGATTTAGAACCATAAGCTGCAAGGTCCTTGGGAGCTGATGGGCATATAAATCATGACTCTTCTTTTTGACCTCACATGTAGGAGACAAAATGCAAGAGTTTGTTTTTGGAACTTCTGATCAAGATTCCCATCAAGAAACATAAATTTCAGACTCATACCTGTTGAGTGGACTGTAGTCTCTGTTTTTCATTCTGCCACTGTTTAAATCTGTCAAGGGCTTCATCCACGGAAATTGCCCCCTTTTTCACCTGTTCCTGCAAGTGGATGAGTCAGTAACTGTGTCAGTGGGGCCTCTCGGTGCTGCTACAAAAAGTAGAAAGATAAAGGCAGAAAATATTACTAACCCATTTCATTCCTTTCTCTTTATGTTGCAAGCACTTTTTTCAACAAAGGCATGTAAGCAGTGACTTTATAATCTGGCATCACTAAAAACACACTATCTTTAGGGTGGCTCCCCCCTTCCTTTTCTCCTCTCTGTTTTTTGTTTTCAATGAGAGAAATGCAACAAATCAATGAGGATTCTACCATTACTCTTTGACAGCAGAGTAGCATCTTAAAAAATTCATTCATTACTATTGTCCTGATCCATGAATTGTCCATTAGCGTCAGTTCACACAGGAATCTCCTTCTAGTGCTAAAGCTACAGTACTGAGATTTTAAGGGAATTTGTTAACATAAAGACAAAAAATATCTACAGTGCCTTTTCCCCCCTTCTTTCTCCAGCTTCACACATTACATTTCTCAAAAGATGGGGCTGAAATTTGGTCAGAAAGAGTTTTGAAATTTTTTTATGATTCGCTTCCCTCAAATTATTAAATATATTGCAGTGACAAGAAAACTTTACAACCTCCTCCTGCTAGATATTATGATACAGGTACACAACTGGAGGGAAATGACAGGGAGACTTGTGCAATCAGATTCACAGCTTGGTCCATGGAGGTGTAGCACCATTTATCTCCAGGATACTGATACTGAAATGGCCGATTCAGAACACATGAGCAGCCATGAAACAAGGCTCTCCTAGCCCTGTCTGTGGCTGTTGCAGAAGTGCCATACAGCACCTGTTTCACTGCACAGGGAAAGCAGCCACATTAAAAGTTTAAACCATAATTATGATCTGGGTCAGTTTTATCTGCTGTGTTATGCACCAATATATTTCAAGTTGAGAAAGTGTTTTTCCCTTTGCACAGCCCTAAGGAAGTGAAAAACAGCTTCTGTGGCTTCTCCCTCCTTTACATCATACAGAATACTAAGCACATATTAGGCATGAATCTCTACTCTTTTGCATCTCATCTAATTGTTTCTATTTAAACAGAGTAATGACCCTAATGCCTTGCATCTGATAAGATTATTTGGAGATTCGACCAGTTTAGGTAAAACTGCATTTTCCTTAGCAGCAAAAAGGGGAGAGAGAGTGTATGTGTGTATTTATTCAGACCCATAAAACCTACTCTGTTTTATATGTGCATATAGAATTTTTGCAGAGGCATGCTACCAATATTCCATCATGGTAAGATCTAGAAGGTCCTGTATGCTTTTCCTAAGTGGGTTAGCATTCATGAAAAGTAATGTCAGTAGCACTGGAGACTGCAGCTCCATGCTGCAGAAATAAATAGGCGATTATGTGCTGCTCTATGTACTTTCATCCTGACCTGCTACTTGTTAACAGAAGAGGGAGGAAAAATTTTCACTCAGTGTTCATTCAATTTGTACATAACATTGTTAACTATTTTAGGGTACTGTTTCTTACACATAAATTCAAACCAACATTTCTTGCACAGTACCATTAATGGAATTTATGGTAGCAACATTTTGATGTGCTACACTCAACTAACAACTGGACTGCCAAGAGTAATTCATTTTACATGGATCTTGGGGTACCCAGGAGAGAGCTGTTGCTCCCCACACTGCTGCCTTTCCATGGCTGGAATTAGTGCACAGCTGAGCCCTCCCATCCTTCCTTTTCTTGGTTCTAATCACAATGGAGAAAGGAAACAGAAAAGCATAAAGTAACTCTGACTCTACAAATCCTTCCAACAAGACCGTAACTTTTATTTTTCTTTCTTTAATCTGATCACTTAATGCTGCAATACCATTAAGGATATACATAATATGTGGGAAAATAGATGCTAAATCAGTCAAAATCAAGTCACAGTAAATCTCTACTAGTTCTACTAAAAAGCATCAAGGCAGGTAAAAAGCCAAATTAAATTCTGTACCAGGCTTTCTGGTATCGCAGTACGTCCTGTTGTTGCCACTGGGCACTCGAGCGGTCTTTTGCTGAAACACTACAACAAAATTAAGAATATAAGGAAGTTACAAGGTGAAAAATGGCAATAAAAACCACCACACATTCTGAATGATGGAAGGAGGTTCATGAAAGCAGGCTGGAATAAATTTCTTGTTCTAGCTTAGGAGTACTTCTCAACCCACTTGTCGGTCTAATGTTAATTACTTGAAAAATTGTTCTGTTGCACAAAATGGCAGGATTACTGATATTACAGATATCATGACAAGAAGCTTTGAAGAAAATAAAATAGATGTATCACATCAACATATTACTTGTTTAGAAAACACAGCTAGATCTCGGAGTTCTTCACATGGTATCGACACCTACCGTAGCCTTTTTCTTACTTTACGGGGAAAGTTAGGGCAGAAAAAACCAATAGCACTATGTGGGAATAATAAAACTGCTTAAGAAAGAGTATGGGTATATCTTTGTCTACTTTAGTCAAGCACCAGGAACAGCAAAGCATGATCACTTATTCCATTAGCGTAGCCCATCCTCCCCATTGCTGTGAGGTGCCCAGAGTACAGCCTCCCTGGATATGCCCTAAAATGCTGCAGTCAAACTTTTGCTGGCGGCGTATGTAAAATCCAGAAGGTGGGAATTGCTTGATTTCTGACTTAGCTACTGCCATATCGGTTTTCCCTCTCAGGTCTCAGTTCTGATTTTAGCTAAACAAACTGATAATCTAGAACAATTCCTTCCCATTAAGTAATCTTTCTGACATCACTGCAATGCAGCAAAAGCGCCAGTTCAACGGAGCAGATGTTTGCTGGGGACCACGGCCCAGTACAACGGAGCTCTGCTCAAGTGGCAGAGCCGCTGCGCTCTGCATGGCACCCTGGAGTCCCGGCTTCTTGCTCTTGCTGACCAGGGAAATCCAGCGGACCTTGGTTTGCTCCTTGTCTGCCTGCTCCAGCTGCCTTGTATGATATATCCACTTCTCTCAGAGAAACTTACAAAACAGATGATCAAGACCGCTGTGACATCTAAAGTCTGCACATGCTACATGCAGAGGTGAAGAAGGCGCAATTCCTAAGGGTGTATTTTCTATACTGCAGAGTAAAGTCTTTATGCTAATCCCTGACTAGGTTTGTATGGAAGGTGATGATGGATGAAAACAGCTGGGGACTTGATGCTCCTTAAAAAGTTCTCAGGCTAAATGGAGAGAGTAAAAGAACTATACAGGCAGCACAGTCTGCTGATGTTATGTCCCTAGCTTCAGCCTAACACTGATAGATTTTAACTTTTGTAATACTCTTCTCTGTAATTCTCAAAGAATCCTGCCAAGTGTGGCTGCAGTGTTTTCTTCTGTACTTGAAATAGTTTTCTCTTTTGAAAGAAGAAATTAAAGTAACCAGAACACAGAGGTAATGCAGGCAGCCTGAATTTTGCTGCATAAGGAGAAGGGATACACTCAACAATGTCCCTGATTGGAAAGCACTTTAATTGATAGGCTTTAAAATTTCTGCTGAGTTTTGCAGTGTTGGAGTAATTAGAAATGGAATTACTCTTCCAGTTCAAAGTAAAATTGTTAAAACCACTTTACATGCTGCATCTTGCTGAAATGATTTTTGTTGGCAGCAAGTATTCAGTGTGGGTGAGGTAAATGAAAACAAATTCCTGTTTCTGGAATGCCTGGAAAGACGTATGCACATACCGCTGTACAACTGCCACAAGTTTAGGGAAGACTCCAGCAATTTACTCTTTCATTCCCACATTCGAATTATTTATGAACTGCTCAAACACAGTAGTGGAATGAAAGAAACAGGTAATCTTGCATAGGGATACATTCCATTGCTTCTTATGGAAGATAAAGTGAACATTCCTTCAGTAAAGCAATACTCATATAGCAAATTTTAAAGTATCAGAATGCCACAGTCCTTCAGCTGAGGAAGGATATATATTTTTATATTTTCAGAGCCTCTCTGCCATAGATAATCTGATTAAAAAGTTGCAGTACTCCTGTTATGCTTTGTTACTTAATGTGCGTTCTTCAATAATATCTGTACAATCAGAAAGTGAGTCCTTTTGAATTTTATTCACATTGTGACTGGCTAAAGTACCCATAGATGCTTGTAGGTCAAAATCTACAAATTAAACATGCCGACACAATATATGCTATATAATTTTTGTCCACAACGTATCTCCTCTTCTCTCTCAGTTTCTCAGAATTCAAGAAGGCTGAGAGAGCTAACAAGTAATTAGACTTTATGCCCTCTCATCTCTTCAGTTGCTACAGGAAACAGATGAAGTTCTTTGCATGCCCTAAATACATTTTTATGTCTTGGGTAATAAGATCACTTTTTAGGAATGTAATGTAACTTCAATATTTCTCCAGGAAAGCAAACTCAGAGAGTAAGAAACTACTGCAATATTTTCTAGTAGGGCATGAAACCATGAAACATTTAAAAAGCGTGACAAAACACAAATTTTGTGGCAAACATGCAGAATTATGGGAAAATCCCTCACAGAAGGTGGGAAAAGTAAGGAGGATCCCAGGAACTCCGAATTGCCTTTTTTTTTATCTCAACCAGACTAGCTACAGATGTTGTTTCAGGCTGTCTGCACATGCAGGTAAATAATGTTCTGAGGCTTGAAATGTGGTTAATAGTTTCATGGTTATCACCACAAATAAAAGGGCTAGAAACATTTGAAATCTAAGTCTCTTGTATATCATTCTGTACCAAGCAGAGCATTTTATAGTCACACGAGGGGACCTAATATATGCTTACAAATATCTCAAGGGTGGGTGTCAGGAGGATGGGGCCAAGCTCTTTCCAGTGGTGCCCAGCGACAGGACAAGGGGCAATGGGCACAAATTGAAGCACAGGAAGTTCCGTCTGAACCTGAGGAAGAACTTCTTCCCTCTGAGGGTGATGGAGCACTGGAACAGTCGGCCTAGGGAGGTTGTGGAGTCTCCTTTTCTGGAGATATTCAAGACCCGCCTGGACAAGGTCCTGTGCAGCCTGCTGTAGGTGACCCTGCTTCGGCAGGGAGGTTGGACTAGATGACCCACAGAGGTCCCTTCCAACCCCAAACATTCTGTGATTCTGTGATTGTGCAAGAAACTGTGAATAGTATAAAGGGTCTAGACAGAGAGAACGAAATTTTTTACAGTAGCTGCAGGTTGACAAAAAGAACAGGAATTTGATTCTCAGAATTAATTGAGGTTCTAACACAAAGCTGTAATGGTAAGGAACCACAGACGCACTATGGCATTTCAAAAATTGCTTAGTGATAGACCACTGAGAAGTGATATAATTAGAAACACGGGCAGTCAAAATGTGGAAAGAGTTACATTATGAGAGAGGACAACTCATATCAGTTAAGAGGCAATGATCAACCAAGATGTGGTTATTCATTTACATTTTACATTACCCATCTAAACTATAAAGGATGTTGCCTAATTTGTTTTGCATTAGCAACATTACGTTTAAAAAAAAAAATCAAACAACAGTTTGCCACTATACACTAGCAATTCAAATAAAGCTAGACTGATGAACCTACTCTCTGGAAGAATATGTGAGCTAATCATACCTGATACTACTTACTCAATACTTTGAGCAAAACAAACACAAAGGACAAAAAAAAAAATCAATAAATATCACTAATTTGAATTCAATTTGCTTAGAGAAATTCAAGATGCATTTATTCATCAGCTTCATTGAGTTGATGTTCTAAACAAAATTACCTATTGCCATGACTGTTTTATTTAGGAAACATTCAAAATTAAGATCCAGGGGAACAAAATCTTTATAGAAACACAAGGCTAAGTGATAATGGAAATTAATTAATACACTAGGGTTGCACTTATTAACACATCTCAACTCAGTTGCAAATTACAGTGAGTTTGTAAGCTTCCTCCTTGTTCTTAGTAGGTTTTTGCTTCATTCATTTTCGAATTGTCATGCCATTAACTCATGATTAACAGAAGAACGGAGAAGGAGGGGTGAATTGCTAGCAGGGATATGTTGCAGGGAGAGACTCCTATCTTTGCCCACTCCATTTTTTTCCCCATTATTTAAACATTTGAACATTTAAACTGTGTGTGCATAGTACCTAGGCAAATAAAACTCGCAAGTTCTTTTTCTGGTAGGGATTAGTTTGTAAATTAGATGTAGCACAGCAAGGGATGACAAATACATGGAGAATACTAAGGAAGGAATATAGTAGGATGACGCTTATTATTCAGGAGATGAGAACTCTGCAGATGTTTGTTCACATCTTTTTAGATCTCATTTTCCTTTTGTCTGTTTTGTTCGCTAACACACCGAGCATCAGTGACTGGACAGAGGTCATCAATGCAATACTAACCAATAAATTTCGTGAGAGGTGATTAAGGACCACTCCTAAAATTTATGCAAAATATGTCACATTTTTAAGATTAAAGCAAAAAATTTTAGTGATTCATGACATGAAATCAGCTAAGGAAATCGGACACCGTAAACAGATTGGCCTTTTTAAATTTTCTGAGACAACACAGCTGAGCACAGAACAAAAGCGTATCGGCATGCCTCATGATTCTGGTCTAGTTAGGTCCAAGGACTGTGGAGAAGGGATGGCTGTGCTGTGCTGTGCAAGGTAACAAAGCCTCAAGTCCCAGAAGCTGTCCTGTCATGGTAGCATAGGTGTCTGAATGCCCTTACACTGTCACAAGGCTAGGGGAGAAAGACTGGCCAGTTTTAACTGCACTGGTGCGAGAAAACCAGTGACCATATCTGAACTGATACAGAAGTTCTGATCTGTTTTAAACGTGCTGCCTGACACTCAAGACATTTATGAGAACACACAACTGTCATTTCATCAGAATAAAGAGCAGGCGATGTCAAATGCACTTGCAGAAATATCAAACTGCCATGCTGCTCTGTTTTTTGCAGTGGCCCAATGCATGCTGCCCGAATTTTTCAGCTACGGCATCACCTCCACTCATCACAACCTATGCAGGCTGTTGTCAGCCTTTACCTTCCACAACCACATAACCAGTCAGCTGAGACTGAA